TCAGATGGTAAATAAATTTAATGATTTTAAAAGAAAAATCAAAAATTTAATTTATAAACTATCATATATAAGAAAAAATCTTAAATATATGATGATAAACTCAATTCCTAGTAGTGTGAAATAGCTACCAAGACGCGTTTCGTCCCTGCTAAAGGACTCATCAGTTGGCTTATTCTATATAAGATTTGAACTAAATAAATAGATAAATTTAACAAGATAAATTTAAATAGATAAATAAATTCAATTTTGTAAGCAAATTATGAGAGAGTGAAATTTCATTATGATTTAAAATTTTGTTTTTGTTTTGTAGGAGAAGTTTTTGAATTTTGTGAAAGTTAGTGTTACTGAATCTCATGTTTTATTGGGAGAAAAAAAATTGTGACTGAATTTTGGATAGAATATGTTTCAATTCTCACTTCTGTTTCATTGAATATTCGTATATCAAGTTAAGGGAAATAATGAGATGAATAGTTTGTTCAATGGGCAGTGTTTATGGATGTAGATGATGATGATGCTTGTTTCATATTTGGTTATTTTTTTGGTTGATTTTTTGGTTTAGTTGTCGATGCCTGTTCTTTTTGTGGTTTCCTTCTAGATTTAATAAATCAGTGTATACTATAATATTTTAAAGACTACTTTTTTTTTATCGCTGATCATACTTGGTTTAGCTTTGTTTTTTAATATTGCCTGTCTTGGACATTTTCGGATCATTTCTTTCATTGTGCTTTTCTGATTTCTGTTTCCAACGATCAGTTTTGTTTCGATTATTTGAGTATTGGCGAATGTTTCTTGAAAGATACGATGCAAGTCTCGCTTACGTGTATTGAATCTTTTCTCGTGTGTATAATGAATTATAAGTTTATTTTGAAGTTTGTTTGGTTTCTTATTCTCTTGAATGATGAATTCTTCTTTTTTATCTAAATCTTCAACTAAATGGTCCTTATCATACGTAAGTGTTGCAATTCTCATTTCGACTTGAGATTGTTGTCGACTTGGTTGTCCAGATAATGCAATACGCATTTGTATGAATTGAGCTTCATTGTCAAGAAATGGGAGAAATGATCGTGATGATATGCAGTCAGAGAAGAATTTTCGGAATGTCTTGTCGATAAATGAAGAAGGATAACTATAGAATAAATGTATGAGAATATTAAATATATCAACAATAATCTCACCCATTGTACAAAAATGTTGATTTAATATATCTTCTCTCATCATTGAATAATTGAAAAGTTGATGAATATTTGATTGCACGTCGAAGACTTGTTTGTACAATGTTATCGAATACATGTCGAGGATGATCAGAAGTAAACGGTACAACATAGGGTTCTGCTGCTGGTTTATGATAGACCGAGGTTGATAGAGTGCCATTGATATTTGTAGGGAGAATATCAAGAAATGGAAGACTTTTACCGATTTTATATTCTAATTTAATATTTGGATGCCAAGCATTCGCATTTTCTAATATTTGCTTCAATGCATTTTCCGATTTATTCCATGTCATAAAAACATCATCAATATACCTATCACAATTATTCAAAATAAAATTAGTTATTACTCTAAATTTAGTTCTACTTACCGTCCATAATATTCACATGTCATATCCTGTCGGCGGACAAGTTCTTTTTGCCATTTCCACATAAATATATTTGCTAATGTCAATCTAAATGATGAACCCATTGCACCACCAAGGACTTGTTGATAAATCTTTTTACCATAGACAAATACATTCTCTTTCAATACAATTGAAGCTAATAATCTTATTGTTTCTAAAGGAATTCCTTTGACTTTTGTATAACCATGAACATGAAGAAATTCAACAAGAATATCTAAGGCTTCTTCTTGTGGTAACATAGTATATAAATTACGGATATCAAAAGTACAAAAAAGTGTCGTTGATTTAAATAGACCTTTTCTCATATATTGATGGAGTGCTTGAATTAATGAAGTGCCATCGATAATAGTTGTATTTTGACATTCCTTATCAAATATAGGTCGGATAATGTTATGTCAGTAGAGACATCTCCTGACATAAGACGGCCATCTTTATCCCTCTATCATAGTTATGAGATGGAACCGACTGGTGGAAGAGATAGAGAAAGAAAGAGAACAGGTTCTGTTGTTTTTTCGTTTTTTCATGCGATTGTTTGTTTTCGTGTTTGAAAGGAATAAGAATAATAAAGAAAACGGGAAAAGGACCTAACAATTTGGTGCACAAGCCGGGGTTGATTATTATTCATATAATTAGTGTATGTTAACACGACAAGGTGCAAAACGACTCCTTGAAGCTGAATTTCAAAGATTATCCGATATTGATATTACTTTTCCTGATCGTACAACAGTAGCTCCAATAGTTTATCGTCCAACAGAATTAATCATGGCAGAGAAAACCGTCGCACACATTCTTAGTAAAACCTTGGAACAAATTCCTAAATATTCTGGTAAACCAGATCAAGATGCCGATGAATGGATGAAGGATTTAACAGCTACATTTCGTATGGCTGATATTACAGAATCACAAGCATTAAGAATCATTCCAACATTTTTGGAAGGGCATCCTAAACAATGGTTTAATGAAAATACTACAATATTCGAATCCTGGAATGTATTTAAAACTCAATTTCTTCACATATTCATCTCCATCCTCGAAACAATTAGCATCGAATCGCTTACGAAATCGGCAACAACGATATGATGAAACTGTTATTGAATATTATACAGATGTTATTAAATTATGTAAATTAGTTGATCCAAACATGACAGATGCATCCAAACTTGATCATTTATATCATGGATTAAAACCGTCATTAATGAAAGACGTATTACGTGAAGCTCCACCCACGCCAGCATAATTTTTGGAACAAGCACGACGTGAAGAAAATTTAGATCGTCTCGTTAATACATCTATTAAACAACCACATGATAATGATACACAAGCAATAAATTACTCCAATAGTTCATTGTATCGATCTTCACAACCGGCTGAAGCTATACGTCATCCAAACTCATCCAATATGTATTCTGGAGGTTATTCTACAAACGGATATTCACCTCGGCCGGTATATAATCGTTTTCCTAATCAATCATCACCACGTTATCCATCACAAGCTCAACCATCTTCGTTTAATGCATTACATTACCAATCACGTCCTTTACGATGTTATCTATGCAATAAACTGGGTCATTTTGCTCGTGATTGCCGATCTGCAAAAAACTACTAAGGGAGTCACATGATGGTAGTGACTCCCTCCCCTCACGCCCATCATTATTTTCTTTATCAACATACAATAACTATTCCGTACCAAAATCGAATATACATCATCGATTTATTCCATATTTTCGTTACCGTACTAATCGCCACACAATAGCATATCCGACTTATTCGGTACCATATCGTAAATATCTTCCAATTAATTACTCTCGACAGCATTTTATTAAACCCATCGAACAACGCACTGCTAGAAATCAAAATATTCAAAAATCTAATCCATCATTAATTTTTATCAATACCCTCATCAATGGATCACGTCTACGTGCTATGATAGATACTGGCGCCACTCATTCATTTATTACCCAAGGTGCATTGAGCACATTATATCATTCAGCAATACCACCATGTGATCGTACAGCTCAATTAGGTGATGGTCAAACCATGCTTAAAATAGTGGGTGAAGTTCAATTATTATTACAATTCGATCAAGTTTTTACACGTTTAAATGTTCTCGTCGTCAAAACCATGAATACTGATTTTATACTTGGTAGTGATTGGTGTACTAGTAATGCAGCACGAATCGATTATGAAAAAAATCAAGTGTCTATACGCTCATACAATGGTCGTATATTTATTCCATATCCCAAATGCATTGATTCTTTAACTCTAGATGTCAAATCAATTAATGTAATTCATATACCACCACGTGAATCATATACAGTTCAAGCCAAAGTAGAATTATCGTCAGCCGATACCGTCTACTTCTCGCCTATTGATGCTACACAATCCAACAAATCTATTTTAATGTCACCATCGTTGTTACACATAAATAATTATACCACATATTTAGAAATATATAATCCTCATAATTATACCTGCACATTACCAATGAATACCCTTCTAGGTCATGTAACACACACACCGTATCATGTACATTCATGTCTATTATTTGATACACCTAGTCGATCATCGACATTATCCTATCAACATCCTATTATTAATACAATTGAAATCGAACCAGCATCTTCTACAACATCCAAAACAATTGATAAATTACTTGCTCATATTCAAACTGTTCAGGATCAACAACAATTACGTTTTATATTACAACAGCATAAAAAAATTTTTGATCTTTCAAATGTTACACAAGCCAACACACATATGCAACACACTATTAACACCGGTGATAGTCTTCCGATTAGCTCACGACCGTATCCGAGAACAGTTGAACAACGACGTGAACTCCAAGATGAAATTCAAAAGATGCTGCAAACGAATCAAATTCGTCCATCCAATTCGCCGTGGTCATCTCCAGTTATTATTCACAAAAAGAAGGATGGTGGTATTCGTTTTTTAGTGGATTATCGTAAATTAAACTCGGTGACCAAAAAAGATTCTTTTCCGCAGCCAACAACTGAAGAATTATTACATCGATTAGGTGGTCATTGTTTTTATACAAAATTAGATCTTAAATCAGGTTATTTTCAGCTTCCTATACATGAAACAGACAAAGAAAAGACAGCATTTATAACACAGGATGGCTTGTGGGAGTCCAATGTACTTCCACAAGGCATTATGAATGGACCCCCAACGTTTCAAAGGATCATGCACAATCTTCTTGGTTATGGACGATGGGACTATGTTATGGTCTATTTAGACGATATTCTTATATTTTCTCGTAGTTTCAATGAACATAAAAAACATTTAAATGAAATTTTATCAATATTAGCTAAAGCTAATTTTCAAGTTAATCCTGATAAATGTTCTATTGCTGTTCAAGAAATCGATTTTTTAAGCCATACAATCAATGAACAATTTATTAAACCGAATGGTAATAAAATTACAGCAATTATTGATCTACCTGCTCCAACAACACTTAAAGAAGCAAATGAATTTTTAGGTAAAATTAATTGGTACCGCAAATTCATTCCGGATTTTGCTCGTATAGCTGCTCCATTACACAAAGTTACCAATAAAACAAAACGTCATCGACATGAATTTAAATGGGGACCTGATCAACAACATTCGTTTGATGAATTTAAACGTATTTTAACAACATATCCTTTGGGTGAATCCATGGAGAGCCATCCACTTTTTGGAAAAGTTTTTTTTTTCGATTTTTTTTTCGTTCAAAAGGCTGATCTCGGCTAGAAAACACTTTTGGTCAAAAAAAATATATATAGTGTCTATCAAAAATTCCGAGTTTTCGAGCATTTTCTCGGAACACCTATCATGAACTTTGATATATAGGGAAAATTGCATGAAATAGAA